TGTTTAACTTTTTAAAGAAAACTGGCAGACTGCTTTTCGAAGTGGTCATGCCATTTTACATTACCACCAGCAGTGGGGGGAAGTTTCAGGTCTTCCACATCCTGGCAACTCTTGGTATGGTCAGTCTTTGCGATTCGAGCCATCCCCGTGGGCACGCAGTGTCAGGCATTCTACAGTGGCTGTGAGGCCAGAAAGGGCCCCAGGTGAGCAACGTGAGAAACTCACTTTGCAACTCTCAGCTCACAGTCTAATACTCAAGGACCCATGTAACTTCTCTGAGCCTCAGTTTCCCTATCTGTAAATTGGAAACCACAATAACAACAGGTCCTGAAGAGTCACTGAGTGCGACAACATATGTGAAGGACTGTCCTGAACCTCAAATTCCTTTCTAGAACCAAAAAATAATATCGATAAATATGGAAATGTATGTGTTTAAGCAAGCAAAGATGTCCACTCAATTGTCCTTTGTATATAAAATTCTTGCTTTATCCCCTCTGAGCAGAGTGCAAGGAAGACTATTTGACATTTTCTTTGCTTTATCTCTTCCATTGTTCTTGCATTGACTCACTACTTTCCATCATTAACCACAATGAGCCAAGTACATAATGGAATGAGCCCTTCTTCAATTGTGAACATTTACTCAAGATTTCTTCCAATTGGAGCTCGGAATCCAGGACTAGATCCAGCCTGCAGTAGACACTTTAGGACAAAACACAAATTTGAAAGCTTTTGGCTGTGACATTTATGCAGCCTGTGCCCAGGGGCTTGGAGCTCGGAATCCAGGACTAGAACCAGCCTGCAGTAAGACACTTTAGGACAAAACACAAATTTGAAACCTTTTGGCTGTGACATTTATGCAGCCTGTGCCCAGGGGACATATTTGAATCTGTAGACCAAAGAAAGAGTTCGTCCCCAAACTCAGGGGAGGCACATGGGCAACTATGGGCCCTACTATTTGAAGAAACACTTGAAGCCTCAGTGACTTGGATATGGTCCTACCTCGAGGCACATTGCAGACTATCCCACTCCCCAGGCGAGGCAGTGGCCGGGAACAGCGCATTCCTGGTTTACTGCCAATGTCCTCGATCTGCATGTTCTGCCATTTACTTGGGAAAATAATGTTTAGTTTCAAGTCAGGGCAACAAAACCACTGCCAGGAGCCGGCCAGCTCACAGGAGATGTGCGGGTAGCTTGGTGGCCCTGAACACCTAAGTGGTTTTGTTCCCCTTCGAGTTTCCTGCGGTACATTAACTTTTATTGATAGTTCATAGCTTCCGCAACTGGTCTTGATTTTACTAACCTGAAGGACAGAGGAACAAGAGGCACCCACACAGCTGACGTGCAAGAAAAAAATAGCACGGAACGTCTTGATGGGTTTCAGTGTTTTTCCCCTTGCTAGAGCTTTCCTTTAATGAGGGAGTCAGAGCCATTGCAGGTTAATCATGTCTCAGGCCCTCAAAGGGATGGGGGCTGAATAACCACTTAGAAATCTAACCATGGTTCCCTCCAGCAGACGCTTGGAGGTATAGCAAGGCACTCGTGAAATTGCAAGCTCTGATTTATGTCACTGCTATGGAGACTGGCAAAAGGATTCTTGGGTGTTTTCATAATACAGGTATTAAGCAAATGTTAAACCAGGAGCTGGATGGAAAATCTATGTAATGAAAGACAGAGAGACCATTTTCTTCATTGCTTTGAGCAACCTAACACTTCTAGCTAGAATATGCACCTTGGAGCAACCTCATTCTCTTTGACTCATGAACACTGTGAACAGTATAATTGTGTTTTCTTTTCTGCATGGAATGCTATCACCATCAGCTTAAAAGAAGAGCATTATTGTTTATAAAAATAGATACGATTTGTTGAACACCTATTATAGGCCAGGCACAACTCTTTGCACTTTATACATCTTGCCTCAATTCATCCTCATAGCAATCTTATGAAGCATAACTTTGTATTGTCATTTTGTAGCAAAGGAAATTGAGGTTCAGAGAGCATCTATAAACTGTCAAAGTCCTCAGACAAGCTGACGAAGGAACAGGATTTCAGTCAAAGTCAAGGTAAAAAAACTGATCGCATCCTAAACCCAACTCTCAAACATACCCTTATCTGCACGTACACACAATCCCTGTCACTTTAAAATGCATGGTGTTTATTTTAACAGATTAAACATTAGTTTTACAAAATGGAGTTTTGTAGAAACACTAACATAGATCTGTTTTTATTCAGCCAGGATTCAGTGATTTCAATGATCACCTACTGTGTGTAGGACCCTGTGCTAATAAGCTTGTCCTACTCAGGAAATCTCAGGGCTGTGATTGCAGAACCTCAGTAACCACAGCACAAATCTGTTTTGTAGGCTGCCCAGCCTTGTTTTAAAAAACCACATCTCACCAACAGTGCGAAGGTTCCCTTTTCTCCACATCCTCGCTAACACTTGTTGTTTGTTGACTTATTGAGGACAGCAGTGTGAGGTGGTATCTCATTGTGGTTTTAGTTTGCATTTCTCTAACTACTACTGACACTAAGCATCTTTTCAATATGTCTATTGGCCATCACTGTGTCCTCTTTGGAGAAGTGTCTATTCAGATCCTTTGCCCATTTTTTAATTGGATTGTTTGAATGTTTGGTGTTGAGTTTTATAAGTTTTATGTTTTCTTTTAGGAGTTTTATGATTTCGAGTCTAACATTGAAGTCTTTCATCAATTTTGAGTTTGCTCTTGTGTATGGTGTATGAAGATGGTTGTTTCATTTTTTGCACATATCTGTCTACTTTTCCCAACACCATTTATTGAATAGACTATCTTTATCCCATTGTATGCTTTTATTCAGCCAAGATGTTTTTACTTCCTTTGTCAAATATTAAGTGGCCACAAAGGCGTGGGTTTATTTCTGGGCTCTCTATTCTGTTCCATTGATCTGTATCTCTGTTTTTATGCTAGTACCATGCTCTTTTGATTACTATGGTCTTGTAGTATAGTTTGATATCAGGTAGTGTAATTCCTTCAACTTTGTTCTTCTTTCTCAAGATTGCTATAGCTATTCGGGGACTTTTGTAGTTCCATATAAATTGGAATATTTGTCTAGTTCTGTGAAATACACCATTGGTATCTTAATAGGAATTGCACTGAATCTGTAGATTGCTTTGGGTAGTATAAACATTTTAATGATGTTAATTCTTTTTATCAATGAACACAGTATACACTTCCTCTTATTTGTATCTTCTTCAATTTCTTTCTTCAGTGTGTTATAATTTTCCGACTCAGAGTGGTGAACACATACAATATACAGATGAAATATATTATACAACTGTATACCTTAAACCTATAAAATATTATTAACTAACTAGAGGCCCAGTGCATGAAATTCATGCACGGAGGGGGGGAGGGGTCCCTCAGCCTGGCCTGCACCCTCTTGCAATCTGAGACCACTGGCTCCTAACCACCTCTGCCTGCCTGCCTAATCGCCCCTAACCACTCACCTGCCTGCCTGCCTGATCGCCCTTAACTGCTCACCTGCCTGCCTGATTGCCCCTAACTGTTTGCCTACCTGCTGATCACTCCTAACCACCTCTGTTTCAGCCCCCGCCATGATGGCTTAATCAGGAAAGACATCTGAAATGACATCCGGAAGGTCGTTTGGCTGTCCAGTCTAATTAGCATATTACGCTTGTATTATTATACATGTCATCCCAATAAAGTTAATAAAGAATAAAATAAAAAACCCACATCCTCTAGGTCAGGGGTCCTCAAACTTTTTAAACAGGGGGCCAGTTCACTGTCCCTCAGACCGTTGGAGGGCCGGACTATAGTTTAAAAAAAAACTATAAACAAATTCCTATGCACACAGCAGCGGCAAAAACACCCGGCAGGCTGGATAAATGTTTTCGGCGGGCCGCATGTGGCCCGCGGGCCGTAGTTTGAGGACCCCTGCTCTAGGTCATGATGCTTATTCAGACACTGTGATGTCCAAAGGTCTACATGGATGACCTGAAAGTGACCTCACACTGCCACCTGAACGGGGAGGTCCAGGCACAGGTATTGTGGCAAAGACATGGTGCTGTGTTACTGAGTCTGTTCCTTCCAAGTCAAGATCAAGTTAGTATTCTTTCTGCTATTTTTATCTTGAGGTCCTGAGAAGTGTGAAAATTCCTATCTTAAAAAAAATTCCATCAAGTTAAAAGGCTCCATTTTGTATAATCTTTAAATATCCTACATTAAAAATTAACAAGAGGGCTTCTTGATAAGTTAAACATAGAATTACCATATGGCCCAACAATTCTACTCTAGATATGTACCCAAAATGATTGAAAATCATTGTTCAAGTGAAAACTTGCACACAGATGTTCAGAGCAGCTCTATTCATATTAGTCCAAAAGTAGAAATAGCATAAATGTCCATCAACCGATAAATAGATAAACAAGTTGTGTATCCATACAATGGATTACTATTCAGGATTACAAGGAACAAGATACTGACACATGCTTCAACTGTAAATGAAGCTTGAAAACATTACGCAGAGTGAAAGAAACCAGATACAACAGGTCACATAGTGTTTGATACGATATATCTTATGCCTCCATTCAATGCACCAGAACTGCTAAATCTGAGAATTTGTTGATAGGGTAATAGAAAACTAATACAATGACTATTTGTTTATTTACTCATTTCTCGGTCAATTCGTTGGTTCAATAGATATTTATTGAGCCCTAACCGGTTTGGCTCAGTGGATAGAGCGTCGGCCTGCGGACTCAAGGGTCCCAGGTTCGATTCCGGTCAAGGGCATGTACCTTGGTTGCAGGCACATCCCCAGTTGGGGGTGTGCAGGAGGCAGCTGATCGATGTTTCTCTCTCATCGATGTTTCTAACTCTCTATCCCTCTCCCTTCCTCTCTGTAAAAAATCAATAAAATATATTTAAAAAATAGATATTTATTGAGTATGTGCTGTGTGCATGCACTGTGTTGGGCTCCAGGGATACTGAATGAATAAACAGACTTACCTCTGCCTGAATAAAGCTTACAGTCAAGAGAGTCATGTTTAGGCCCTCCTCACAAAAGCAGCCACAAAGATGAAAGGTCACTAGGAGTAATGATGGCTTCAAGCAGTGATACTAAATCAGCAGAGGCCAATGGGCCCTTAGAGAATCTGATGAAAGATAAGGACCTTCTTCCCAGAAAAGTGCAAATAGGGTATAATGTTGCTTATTATTTCAGAGGATTCTAAGACACCCCAGAGGCCCTTCTTCAAGGTCCATAGTTAAGAACACTTGGCTTAGAGATTCTGAAGATGCTTCATTGATGAAGAAAGCTACCATGGGAATATGTACTTGAAGTATATGCCCATTATTTTCTTTTTTTAATTTAATTTTACTTTTTTTCACGTGTTTTATATATATATATATATTTTTTTAAGAAAAACAATTTTAAATATGTTACATGCAATAAACATTAATATTTCAAGAAAAACTATTTTAAATGTAATATTGTTACATGCCATGCCCATTATTTTCAAGATAAATCTTATTTGACATCACCACTGTGATGGTTAATTTTATGTGTCACGTTGAATGGGCCATGGGGTGCCCAGATATTTGGTTCACATTATTTCTGGGTGTGTCTGCAAAGGTGTTTCTGGTTAAGATTAATATGGCAGCAGACTGACAAATCTCAGAGGGAAGGGGGAAGAGATTAACCAAATAACTTACAAGTATATCTGCATAAGCCATGGACACAGACATTAGTGCAGTGATGGCCTGGTGGGGGTGGAGGAGGGTAAATGTGGGTGTGTGTGGGGGGAAGGAAACATGTAATACTTTCAACAATAAAGATATATTTTTTAAAAAGATTAATATCTAAATTGATAGACTGAGTAAAGCAGACTGCCCTGCACAATGTAGGTGGACCTCGTCTAATCTGTTGAAGGAGGAATATACTCTCTCTGCCTCATTGTCTTTGAGCTGGACACTGGTCTTCTACCCTTGGACTCAGACATGACCTGGAACATACAACATTGGCTCACTTGCTTCTCAGGCCTTTGGACTTGGACTGGAACTGTATGACCAGCAGGATCTGGACTTCTTGGCCTCCACAATCATGTGAGCCAATTCTTTATAACAAATCTCTGTATATTATATATATATACTAGAGGCCTGATGCACAAAAATCATGCAAGAATAGGCACTTGAAGCCCCAGCTGCCTCGTGGCCCCCCTCTCACTGGTAGTTCTGGAAGGTCATCAGGAAAATTGGTTCACCCTCCAGTCTAATTAGCATATTAGCTCTTATTATATAGGATAAATACATCCTATTGGTTTTATTTCTCTGGAGAACCAGACTAATATACTAATACAAAACCAACAACAACTAAATCATTCTCAAAACATTACTACCAGAAATAAATTCTAGCTATGCACTGGATGTTACAAACTTGATTAGAAAACATGGAAATGCGAAAACATAGTGCATTTAATTTTCCAGATTTTTTTAAAAGAGGGCAAGTATTCAACCAACTTTTGAAAAAACAAAACAAAAACAGATGAGTAATTAAAAAACAACAACCCAGTGATTCAAACAACTATAAAAAATAGTGCTACTTATATTTAGGGGACAATTGGAATTATGATCCTTCACTGGCTAGTTAATGATATTAAATAATTTGTGCTATTTTTTAGGTATAATAATGATATTGTAGTTATTTTTTGAGAGCCCTTATATTGACTCACAATAAAATATCTATGGAATAAAAAATATAATGTCTTCAACTTGCTTCTGTAAAATATCGGACATGGGGGACGTCATTGGGGATGGAGATAAAACAATACTGGCCACCTGTGATAGTTGTTAAAACTGAATGATGCAGAGATGGGAATGAATTATACTCTCTGTAACCTTCTGTAAATATCTTGCATTAAAAATAAACAAGTTTGCCGTAGCCGGTTTGGCTCAGTGGATAGAGCGTCGGCATGCAGACTGAAGGGTCCCATGTTCGATTCTGGTCAAGGGCATGTAACTTGGTTGCGGGCACATTCCCAGTAGGGGGCGTGCAGGAGGCAGCTGATCTATGTTTCTCTCTCATTGATGTTTCTAACTCTCTATCCCTCTCCCTTCCTCTCTGTAAAAAATCAATAAAATATATTTAAAAAATAAATAAATAAACAAGTAGCCCTAACCGGTTTGGTTCATTGGATGGAGTGTCAGCCTGCGGACTGAAGGGTCCCATGTTCGATTCTGGTCAAGGGCATGTAACTTGGTTGCGGGCACATTCCCAGTAGGGGGCGTGCAGGAGGCAGCTGATCTATGTTTCTCTCTCATTGATGTTTCTAACTCTCTATCCCTCTCCCCAAGTAAATAAACAAGATGGAGCCAAACATAATTGTTAACACAACATAAATAAATTAATTAATAATAGATATAGATAGATAATTGATATCACCTGGGAGGAAAATCTTCTCTTAACACTCTCTGATGGGTCACCGTAACTGCCTCATGTTAGCTGGTTTCCAGACATTTCTCCTGAATGCCTACATATTTGACAGTGTGGCAGAGAACAAAGGAATACTTATTTGGCAGCACTGACAGGGAGAACATTTCTTTTTAGCATGTCTCGTTACCTGAAATTATATTAAAAGTTCTGTTTTGTGTATTGCCCATCTCCCCCCATGATAATGTAAATGTAAGCTCCAAAAGGGTAAGGACTTTGCTTTTTGTTGTATCTTTACCTCTTGAAGAACAGTACCTGGCACATGATAGGTGTTGTATTTTCTTTTTGTTTGTTTGTTTCTTTTCTGAATGATGGATAATTTAGTACAGTAAATAAATGAATCAAAGTCCAGCCAATTCATTATGAATTTCATTGACTGCTCACCATATACTAGATCTTATGATAACCATCAAAATAGTAGATCAGAGATGCCCAGTACAGAGATTGTACATGTAAAGGGTACAAAGTGTGAGGATTATTTAATTACTTTCACAAAAGTCGAATGCCATTCATTCATCCATCCATCCATTCACAAATATCTACTGAGTACCAACTGTAGTGGAATTGACACACAGTATAAATAGCACAGTCAAATAATAGCATAGTAGAAATAAACACCTGACAAAATCTCTACACTAATGAATTTTACATTTTAAGATATGAGGATAGGGTAAGGAAAAGAACTATATCAGAGACTACAATTCCAGCCAAAAGGTTATCTATTTGTTAATAACACCAATATGTGGCAGGGAATTCATTATCATTTCTCTTTTGAGAATTAACTAAAAAGTTTACTTAAAAGTTTACTAAAAATTTTACATGACAATGCTATACATCTAAGCCATTAGCCATGTCCCATACACTGTCAAGATATGTCACCAAATGCATTAAATTCATGATTTCTCATTTAAGCAAGAGGAAACTGCATTTACTGGGAGACCACCTGTTTATAATGCAATGAAAACAGGATATGCAAATACCGTCTTTTAAAAAGCAAGAAGGAAGTTTCCAATATTACATCACATGAACTTGTTCCTATACTGAGTTTCTTCCTTTGAAAATAACTATCAATGTGTATCCTGTGAAAAGAACTATCAATAACTATCAAGTTCTATTTGCTTTGCCAGTTTCTATAGTCTCTGACACAGAAAGCCATGGATGCATTTTTGAATGTGATATTACTGTCTCTTCTCCAAACCCAACAGACTCACAGAGAATCATGAGTTTTAGGGACTGGCACAAATAAATGTTGAACCCTAAAACCAAATCTATAGTGACAGAAAGAATTTGAAGTTTTACCAATAGTAACTGGCCCTCTGGAATGGGTGCTAATGATAAAAATTGAGCTTTAACACATTCCATTTCTAATTAACTTTAATACTAAAAAAAAAAAAAAAAGCGTTCCTTTTCACCACAAGACCCACTCCTTCCTGGTGAATCCCCAAGGGATGCCTGCTCTTTTCTGGAAGGCATGGCTCTTCTAACTAATTAGAAATTGCTGGGGGGTGAGGGGAAGAGAAGAAGGCAGGGGTGGAAATCAGCAGGGGGTGAAAAATCAAATTTATTCCTGCCTTTCCCACATCCCTTTCTCCTAATCTCAGCCCAAGCTCTCTGTTAGGGAAACAAACACCAAAATCAGTTGAACGGATTCCAAATCAGTTCATCCCGCTTCTCTGCAAGGCTGGCCTGGTCTGGCAGGAGAATATTATAGGATCTGGTCTTCCAGGAGCCATTTCATCAGTTATATTTGTGCAAGTTAAATCTTTTGCCCTGTTTTCTAATTTCAAAAATTGGGGAAAAAATTCAAACATAGTGGAATTACATAAAGAAAAAACCAAAGTTCTCTCCTCCACAAAACCTTCTCATCTCCCATGCTTCCTGTTAAGGAGTTACCACTGTTAATAGTTAATGTTTCATTACAATCTCAGGTCACATTACAAACTATGCAAATACACACCAAACAGTCAGATACATGAGTAACTTTCTTTATAAAAAAAAAATTTCATAAAATACACATTGCTCTGCATTTTCCTTTATCCAAATATTATAGCATGGCAGCCATTATATATGTGTGTGGTTATAAAAATACACATATATTCCAAAATATGTATATTTAGATCTATCTCTTTAAAATATTTCTTTTTTTGCTATGCAAATTTAAAGCTGTGGACAACACAGGTGGATTAAACATACCCTATTAAGAGGAATTCAGAATTCACAGGTTAAATAAATAAGTAAATAAATGCATGTTTGTATATATAATATGTGACATTATATAATGATATATAAAGGGTATCCCAAAAAATGCATACACACTTAACAGCTCAATTGATGTTTCGTTCTTTTCAGACTTAACTCAGTGAAATTAAAAATTATTCAAAGTGTGTATGTATGCATTTTTGGGGGACAGCATGTGTGTGTGTGTGTGTGTGTGTGTGTGTGTG